ATAAGGTTGTGATTGGATATGGACTTGATTGTTTTCTTGTTAACCATAGTTAATTTTGAAAAAGTTGTTATCGTTAGTTGTTAGTGGGGATTTAAGTTTAAATTAAAATAATATTTAAAATAAAACAATTAAAGTTAATTTGATGTAAAGTGGGAGAAAAATGATTGGAAGTGATGGTTGTTAAAATTATGTGAGTAGATGAACAGTGAATTAAAGTTGATTTGATGTGTAAGAATGATTGGTCGATACATTTGAGTTTCGATGGGTTTTTTACTGGTCAAGTTTATAACCAATCACACCCTAATTGTTTGGTTTTATTGTAAAATTTATTATGACAAATATGTTAAGTGGATTCTGAAGAATAGGAAGGAACTTACCTGATGAGCTAGGTTATGTATTACGATGATACTTCGAGCATCCTTATAAACACCATGAGAACGATACTTTGCTGCCAAGAGTCTGAAATTATACAGACAGATGAATATCACCACTTATATCCCAGCTTTGGAAAGGAAAGAAAAAAATAATAATATAAAAAAGAAAAGAAAAAAGGACTAGTAAGAAGGCAATATTGATCATCTTAATCCCTTTTTAATTGTTATTCAACATATAAAATGCGTCATTGCAGATTTAGAACACATGATCCTTGCATGACTATCTCTGAGTAAGTCTACTGGCAAAAAGTAGACATAATATAGTATTTACGTACACAGGAACTAGGCCAGCATGCCAGTCATTTGCAAGAAATAGGCAATTTTCGCCATAAGTAAACCCTCCCAACGGCAGCACCAAGGGAGCTTCACAGGCCGCATGACAAAGTAACGTAAACCGGAACTGTTCAAAGAGGATTTATTATCAAGAATCCAGAAATGATAGTGAGAAACCGAAGTCAAAATAAGCAAAAAAGATATTGATTTTTCCTCTTGGAGAAAAAGTAATTTCTTACCTGGTTATCACCAAAAGCACCATAAGTATCGCCATATGGAGTTCCCGGCCGGTGGTATGAAGGGTGGTCAACAAAGACCTGCAAGCAAAAAGAAACTAAGATTGTGAATCATAAATGATTGAGTAAGATAAGTAAAAATTTCCATTTCAAAATTTTAAGATGCAGTTTTATTTATTCTTACCATACCTTTTTTTTTCGTATATATTGTTCGATCATTATAAAAGGACTTACAAATTTCATGATATTTAATGTGTTTTACCCAATCAACTCCAGCCCTGTACTCATGGTAAAATCCAACCTCCTGCATGCCACCAAAGCAGTAGATTTTTGACCGCCGTTCGGTATCAACAGCATTCGAAAATCTTTTATCCAATGAATTTCCACTCAAATACCGAGGGGAGACTACCATTACACGGTGACCTCTTCTAGCTAATGCTATAGGCAAAGAGCCACAAACATCTCCCAAGCCTCCGGTCTTCGAATATGGAGCTGCTTCGGAAGTTATGAAAATTATATTGAATGTTGTCCGAATTGAAGCTTCCTCATCTTTTTCAAAGTCTTCAGACGGCTCTTCTCCTACTTTACCTTCAGTTTCTTGAGATTGAAGGATTTCTTCACCGCTGATTGCTGAAGTTAGTTGAAGTTGACCTAAGAAATGGTGATATCTGTCACTTTCACATATAAAACTCAAACAAATTGCCTCAAATCCAATATAAAATCCAAAATTGTGTACATAGGGATCTCGGTCAATTGTTAGCAATCCTAGAATATTAGATTAAGCAACACACTGTACTCCTGCACAAGATAGACAGAGATGATAAAACGTGAGAAGAAAAACAATGAAGGGCAATTTTGTGGAAAATACTCATGTCCATGCTCAACCTTTCCACTTATCTTCTTCAACCATTAATCACAAGGCACAATTCAGATTCAATGTCCAACGAGCCGCAAAGATAGCTCATGATCCTCTACCTCTGTTCGGTTTCTATTTCGACTACTCCACTAAACAGTGTGAACCCCAAGTACAGTTAAAATCAAAGATAATATACTAAATTGTACACTATGACTCAAATACTCAACTGCACAAACTACTATGAA